CTATCACTTCTAATCACACGTTCCGGTATTCTTCTTTCTGCTACAACTGAACTCTGCGACTGTTCCATCCGCACTGTCACTCCTGCTCACACACTGACTGACTGACTGACTGACTGACTGACTGCTGACTCGTAACTCACTGTGAATAGTATTCGCTGCTCCTTATTTAGCCCCATTACGGACAACACAGAAAACAGTTACATAATAGGCACCACTGTTCCGTAACGTCATGTTTACCAGCTGCCTAGGAACAGTCATTGCACGGACTCCCCGCCATGTTTACAAAGGCATTGCTGGGCAGCGCTGCCAGGCTACGTAGCAACTGTGGCGTCCTCTGTTACATCACCGCAGGGAAAGAGGTGTCTACCAAGCGTTGCATACTGATGGACGGAGTGGGGGTATGTGACATCACTCGCGAGATCACAGAGTTCACGCGACCCCCACCTCCTGCTACACCATCCATGTCACAATATATATACATGAAATGTAATAGATCAGTTCATTTTGAACCACATACCTCACATATTTTGCCAGCATTTCCTAAGGCAGATAAAATCATATGTTCCCTATCCACTGCCTGTTTCTTCTCTGTGCCCCCAACAAGGTAGGTTGCACATCTCAAGCATTGGGGTTACATCTTGTAGTCTAAGACCTGACACCAAAAGTCTTTTTCTTTTCTGAGTTCTTCATTGAACATATCCTTCATGCACCACTGTTCATAAATCAAGCAGGAATAAAGTGAATTTTGGAAGATTCATTCTGCTTTATATATAAGTACCATAGTTCAGGCAGTTAGATGCTGGCTTCCCAACATGGAGCCTTGGGTTCTGTCCTAAGTGACTTCATGGTTGATTTCTGGTAGACAGTGTGGCATTAGATCAGGTCTTCCTCTGTGTCCCCCCCCCCACCCATCCATTATTTCACCATTGTTTCATGCTCATGTATCACTCTCCCCTAAATTGTGTGACAGCCCTGACCAGGCAGCACTTGATCACATCCATAATTGTAAGTCTGTGAACTCACTACTTTTAACCAATTCTTGACTTCACAAAGTCAATGAAAAATCCGTCGAGTGTAACAATGTTTTTAGGTCACTTCTTTATCTCACTTGCCTTACATGTTTCGGTTTAAGAAAAACCATCATCAGAGGCACGTATTACAAACACATGAAAACACTGGCGTTGTTTAATGTACACAGTATATATGCTGCGTGGACGCTGTTACAAATGTCGAAGTGTAAAAGCACAAACACTTTCTAGTAACATTGAATGTAAAAGCACAATTCAAAAATTCAAATTCAAAAAATTCTTGACTTGTCATGAAGTGAGAAAGATAAGCTAATGGATTGTAATGTTTAATTGACTTCTATTAATGTAAATGCAAGCTTGAACTTCTGTAAAGTTGTAAAATTTGAGAACCACTGTTTGAATTGAATATGCATTCTTCAGTAATCTTAACTACAGAACAGAAGGGTTGAATGGACTAATCTAAGCTTGTATGTGCAATGATCATCTCATCCTTGTATAAATATAAGGCACCTTTTCCTGTCACTCTTACTTTACCATACATTTTTCTTAAATAAATGTATTGGTTGATGTTGTATTTTTCTTATTATGAAGGATATTGCTTGTAGTTGTTTTTCCTCTGCTAGGATTTTCACCTCTTGTAACAAGTACTGAAGTGATGTTTTTTATTCAGTGGTATGCAGTATGGATCATAAATTTCTTGAAAAGTCATGGATTTTATGTGATCAGAGGTTATCACAGTGGTGGAGATTGATTCTGTGGTGTTTTGGGTTGACACTGAAACAGACTATGTGTCACAGTCCATAAGATTGCAGTATGAAATAGCAGACTGTTTAACTTCATAGATACAAATATACATGGGTCACTGAAACAAAAGAAAAACTATTTGAAATGGGAGAAGTAAAAATCACATTTACAAGTTCAAAACCAAGGAATAACTGGTGATGGATTTTTGTCTGTTATTTGAGTTGTGTATGCCATCAGACCAGCTCTGGGGTCCACCCAACCTCCTATCCAATAGGTACTGGGGGCATAAAGTGGCCGTCGCGTGAAGTTGACCACTCACCTCCAACTAGTGCCAAGGTCAAGAAAACTTGGGTCTATACATTGACTCCCCCATACGCCTTCATGGAATAGTACAGGGACAACTTTACCTTTCTACTATAGTTGTGTGGTGGAACATTGTTAGTAGGATTTCTTTGTATCCAGGAAGATGTACTGATGGAAATTTATCAAATTTCATGGACTTTGAAACTGGGTAATAAAAGTTTAAATTTCATTTACAAGTGCCACTGGAGAGTATAAAATGTTACAATCAAAATTATTACAAATGTTTATTATTTTATAAGTCATTGATTGACACAAATAATGCATTTCATTTTACATGTTCTGTCTCTCTGTTATCACTCTGGAATTCCAGGCCAAGTATGGATTTGGTACTTTTGCTAACATCCAAAATATGTGTAACATATTTTGCTTCCAGTAAGTCTGCATTTGGAAATCTCTACCTCTCTCTCTTTCCATATGTATAAATCTATTCTAACATCCCTGTCTGTTTTGTTTGTAAAGTAACTTAGTTAAGGTTTGTTATATATGAGAAAGTATGTGAGATGTCTTTCCATCAGTTTTCCTTAATCAGGGTTACATTCTTGTGTGCCCCTTCAATTTATTTATATTTAATCATCTCTGGCAGAGCAGCCCTTTCAGACCCATAGCTTTCCTATAAGAATCTACCATATTTGATCCAGTTTTCACTTCTTTGCATTTCATAAGGTCATCAGCCTTGCATCCAACCCCCAACCTGGAGGACCATGTCTCTGTATTTATGTCCCCCTGTGACAGGGTTGCCGAAATATACCCCCCAAGCATTGGGTTCCGTTTTTGTAGCCTTCTTTGACTCAGGGCTACAGTGCAGGTATACTAAGCCTCCGCACCAGATATCTAGTTAAGCTCTCTCCATGTTATATTTTGCTTTGTTCAGTTCCAGGTGCATAATAATTTATCTTATTATGCTTAACAATACTATGTCAACTTACATTTAGCATTGGAGATATAACAGAATAATTGCATTTGAGGAAGAAGTTGGGGAGAAGCCATGACCTATAATATGAAATTTATTGCAGCTGTATCAACATTAAATAGATATTGCACTATGTAAGATTTGAGATTTTCAAGGCAGTGACTGAAGAATGCTGTCTTCTGGGATGTGGTGCAGTGCAGATCTCACGTGAACAAATGTTCCTCCAAAACATCGGTTCACACAAGATCTACACGGTGCCACATCACAGAAGATGGCATTCTTCAGATATTACACTGTTCACTGATTGAACATATCATGAAGAAATTTAATTATCGAATTCCAGTCCCAGAACACTTGAGTAGTTATGTTGGTTTCTAAAACTGAAGCAGCAGTCTATTCGAGAACACTGGTACCTATCCACCAAATTACAAAATGTAACATCCCAGAAGACATCTTCATAGCCACTGTTACGAGAACATATGGGTATTTGGACCTCAGAAGGTGGACATCACAGGACACGGGAGAAAATTGCAAAATGAACTTTGTAATATGCATACTGTGCTACACATTTGGATGATCAAACACTGTTGCTAGTTCAGAACTGAATGAGCCCTCTCTGAGAGAAGTTGTTAATAATCTAGCTACAGATTATACAATGGAAATTTTATGTCCACCAAATAAGGTGTACTTTAAAATACTGAAACTGGTGAATAGAGCTGTGAAAACTTACCCGTGTGTAAACTCCAATGTTAAGTGAGTCCCTTGTCATCACAGCAGTGTGTGTTCTCAGGTAGTAGAGCTGGACTCGATACAAACGGTAGCTGTGGAATGTACTAAACAATCGTAGATGGCTGACATAGGATGGTGCTCCAGCTAGGTGGTAGGACAAGGAAGTAACCATAACCTCTGGGGCCATGCCATAGCTCAAGCAGTTAGTCGCTGGCTTCCCATCACGGCGGCCCGGGTTCAATCCCGGGTCTGGTCAAGTGGAATTTGTGGTGGACAAAGTGGTGCTGGGGCAGGTTTTCTCCAAGTACTTTGGTTTCCCCTGCCAATCTTCATTCCACCAATTGCTCCACAATCACCCTCACCTATCATCTGGGGCTGGTACAATAGGCCAGAAGTGGCCGCAGTACAAGGGACTTAGTCCCACCCCACTAGCATAAAAAAAAAACCATAACCTCACAATAAAAAAAAAGACTAGCATGTTACAAAATGTTACGCTGACTAGTACTTGCAATAGAATGTAACAGTGAAACTATTAGGATGAGACTGGAAGCACAAAAAATTCATACAGTCTCAGACACAAGAGACCATTTATGATATTCAGTAGATGAGAGGATAAAATTAATTCATATTAAAGAAATAGGGTAGGAGCATATGAGCAGCTGGATCAGTCTTATGGAGTCCATACTGACATTTTGAAGGTGACTGTTTTCAAATCACACTTCACATATCAAACTACTACACACTCACAGAATTGCTATAGCATAAGACTGCTCACCTGTCATGACCTATCGCACTTCTAAATGTGTCAAAACTTGTAGATTTTTAGAATTTCAAGTGACAATTCATATGGTGATCAGGACTATAAAACCATGCAGTCCGGTAGTTGGGTAGCTACATATTGCCTGCATCTTCAGCCATCAAACTCCTAGCAAAGCAGTGCCATCTATCTACCAAACTACATGGTGTTAACCAAGACCATCATATATGTCAAAACTTGTTGATTCATAGCTATGTGGATTCACATAATGTTTGTATTACATTTCAAGAATTCGTTCATAATTATAAAATTCAATGGGTAATTCAAACTATATTTTATTATTTTTAACCCTATATAGAGAACTTGTCAAAATGAAGGGCACTACAATGCTTGCCCTTCATAGGCACTTAATGGAATCATTTTTGAAGGCTGTATATCACTAACATTATTTTGAACAATAAAACGTCAAGATGGTAACATAACATTTATTTCCACAGCAATCATACCTGACTGGAACATTTCAAATAACAAAGCCAATAAATATGAAACTCTATAATACAAGCGAGTTAATCGGTGGAGTTCCTTTTAGCATCACATTACCAACATATCAACATACTGCAATCTCTTTTAACTCTCAGAAAAAACCTACTGCTTGCCTAATAAACAAAACTATAACCTTCCTGATCTTCGACTAGCCACTGTACGCAACTGTCCATATACCTTGGATGGAGGACTACCCAAAATAAGGTTACATATTGCCCTTCTTGCTAATTGAATGTTTATATAGGACCCCAATATATGAATTCTTGAATCTGCAAGTACTATTCGGGTTTTGGTAACATTCTCAATTGTAAACTTTGTTCTACCTCCCTTACCAGCCAATCTACCAATTGCTCGGGACATATGATCTCCCTTCAATGGCTTTACATCTTTGATCTCAAATGTCTCTACAAACAAATCATCAAGTCGGATTAATGCCAATGCATCATCTACATCAAACCCATATACAAATGCCTTAACAAAGTCTGCAGCTTTCTGAAGATGGCTAATATCCTCCGTCTCAGTACAAGTCCGAATTTCAACATTACGGGTTCTAAGGTTGAAACGGATTTGAAGATGTAAATGCTCAACAATAGGACCAAATATTTTCATCCAGTTTTCTTTGAGTGGCGTGTAGCGATGCCCAGGTACTGCAATTTTCCTCATTTCTGCAAGTTCTCCTTTTCGTAGCCTTCCCTTTTTGGCTGGGGTATGCTGAGGTCGACGTCTGCCTTCAATACCTCTATCAACTACCATTTGGTTCTCGTCATCTTGTGCTTTACGCTTGCGGCTCCTTTTCGACAAAACTTTGACGAATGTGTCCGAATTCTCCTTTTCCTTTTCCATGGTTACTGAAACACCTTCAGGCCTGTTAAAAATTCATTATATTAACTTCATAATATGATATAAGCCATTTGTGTCGCATACAACACAATCAAACTTACAGTGCTAGCAGCTGATATAAATTATGGTCGAACACGTGTACAAACTTGTACACCTTCTAGACCGCCATATTTACTGCATGCAAGGAATGAATTGAACAGGCTGCCTAACAGCTGAATCTTAAATGTACCAACAACTAGACGAAACTAGACCAGCAAGCAAGCGGCTCAAATGTTAAGAGTTAATAAATGGTCTGCCTGCTTGTATTATACGTTGTTCAGACTCTTCAGACGCTTCAGACTTGCTTGTTTTAAGTGTGGCCGTATGTATGTTTGTGTTTGTTATGAATTTTAATATGTTATAATGAAACTCTTATTGATGATATGGCTGGCCAATGTGTGGGGAATGGCAAGATGTGCAATTGTGCAACATAGAGTTATGGTTGGAAATATGAGGGATTTTGTTCAGGGTCGAATGTGACAGTGGTTATATTGTGGCGTATGTGTGTTCTGTTCATGAGGACTGAATATATATTTTATTGGACCAAGGATGTATGATGTGTAGTCATCATGAATTTGTATTGTGTGATGTGCTTTATATCCAGCCCTACGGGGAGGTGATTGGATCCATGAAGTGAAAATAAATATAAATATAAATGTAAATCTAGACATAACAAATCGAGCTAACGCAATGAATTTCGAGACGACGATTTCATGTCACGAATTGTAGGGCTCGAGCTGCTTGTGATACACCAAAACCTAATATAGCCATAAGATTTCCGTATTCTGGTATGTGACACCATATAGACCTTTTTAGCAGGTTTTTCCGAAACGCCTGTCCCTTTCTACTATAACCGCCCTAATGGCCCACAAGCCCAAATTGTAATTCATTATGGATAATTATCAGTATTTTATAATAATTACACAGAGTGTGACATAGCCCATCTCTTGCACACTCGAAGTGGCCTATTTCCCAGATGGACCACACAAAGACACCAGACCCCTGGTGATTTAGTTCAGCGTTTCTTGGAATTTTGGTTCCAGAGTCGCTCGGCGACTCACTTTGAAAATTTGACTCTTGACAGGTTCTGCTAGTCGTAAGTCACACGTAGGCATACCAGGAGGGGATGTTATGGCCAGCATACATCATTCCCTGTCAAAAGTTACGTTAAGTCATTAAAGAAAAAAAAAATTGCCTGTAGAGTAAAGATGATTGGAGGTAGCGGATTCATAGTCAACTCCCTTACTTCAAATCTGGCCAGTTCTCAAAAGTTGAGGGTGTGACTTGGGAACTTCGGGGAAACTGGAGAGGCTCACATCTCTTCAGAAAAACAGTCTTCAAACAGTCTTCAAAAAAGGTGGTGGTCCAGCTAGGACATAATTCAGACGCGAATTCAGCATCACAAAAATATTTCAGCAAAAGAGAAAAAAATTATTTTTAGAGCAGTTTGTAAGTGTTTGGTGGTTCAGTTTGCAAATAAGTGTCATTGTCTAGTGAATTGTTGTGTGTGTGAACTGTTCTTTTCTTCAAAGAATAAAGTGTTCTCTTCTACAAAGTGCATATGGTGTCGTATCATTAGACACTTCTGCCTCCCTGACGGAGCGAGACCCATAAAAAGATCCTGAGACAGTCTCAACTCTATCTTCTGAGGTAGCATAATCACCTGTGTTCCTTGGCAAGCTTCCCACACTGTTCCGGTTAAAGGTAGGCGCACACCTGTCGTCATTGGACGGATGGCACGGATCGGACGGATCAGATTTTATTATTACATACATCGTGTCAAATGAGCCTGCGCTCACTTGTCCGCATCGTACGTATCGGAGTTCGGCAATGCCGACGGGTATTCCCGAGAGGGGCAGTCAATCCGATTAGGCCGTACGGAGCGGACAACGTATTCGGGATTTCACCTCTCACACCGTTAGCAGCTGTTAGTTCATTTTCATTCAATGTGCTTACAACTGGTGAATTTTCCAATGGATTCAGCTCAATTAATTGTCATTGTGCAAGAATATGAAGAATTGTACAATTTGAGACACCCTGACTATTCTAACCAGCAACGAAGGGACAACATTTGGGAAGAGATTGGAAGGAGAATGAACCACCTCGGTAAGTACAAGTACTTCTACAATTTAATCATGTACATTTTACATTACAGTGGGATGTTATTAGTGAACTAATAAAAATGCACTACATTTTACAACACACTTTACAGTAACAGAGTAATGGTAATACAGTTTTACAATGAGAGTACTTAATTACAATATAATTAGTATTATAGCATAGTATGGCTACAGTAAGGAATAATATATTAAGGCAGGCGCTGTCCAGCTTGAACTCTTCTTTGCTGCCATTCAACGGAACCTATATCTGAGTTGAAATATTGTTTGAAACATTCCCTTACTTCTAAAGCATCTTGACGTGAAGTACCACCACTTCTTCTGAGACTTCTCAAACCTTCCACGTTGGAAAGAGAAACTTGCAAATCAGATTCAGTCCAGTGACATGTGTCATCTCTTAAAAAGTTATGTAGACAACATGTAGCCATAATAATTGTAACAGAATGTTCATGGGAAACATTCAACTTGCGTTCGAAAATTCTGAATTTTCGAGCCAATATTCCAAACGTGTTCTCTGCTGTATTCCTTGCACGACTCAACCGATAGTTAAAAATCTTTTTTTCTTCATTTTGATGCACATCATCACGTGAGCAAGGTCTCATTAAGTAAGTGCATAATGGGAAAGCTTCATCCCCAACAGTGACATGTGGTAAGATAGTATTTCCTCCTGGAGGTAGCTTTGGTGGAGGAAGGTGTAAACTTTCATCTGCCAAACCCTTACTCAAATAAGAAGTTCGGAAAATGCTAGCATCAGAGTTTTTACCAAATGCACCAACATCAGTAACTAAGAACTTATAATTAGCATCGACTAATGCTAGCAGGACAGTGCTGAACATTTTTTTGTAACAAAAGAAATCTGAGCCCCTGTGTGGAGGTGCTTGAATTTGCACATGTTTGCCATCGAGAGCCGCCACCGCATTCGGAAAATTCCACTTTTCACGGAAGCCTTCTTCTGATGAGATACATAACTGTTCATCAGGTGTTGGCATAACTACGGGCCTCAGGACAGTCCATATAACGTCGCAGGTTGAATACACAATTTTGCGAACTGTACTCTCACCCAGCCGGTAGGAAAAAGCAAGTGACCGGAACGAGTTCCCAGTAGCCAAAAATCTGAAACAGTGAGAAAGAAGGATCTAGTACACTCCGGTTTCCCCTGTCATATTTCATTCCAGCAATGCTCCACAATCATTTCATTTAATTTGTCATTCATGAATCATTGCCCCAGGGGAGTGCGACAGGCTTCGCCAGCCAGCCGGAAACAGGTTTTGGACTGTACATGTAATACTGTATGTACGAGTATATTACATACTTCAATTGCTAATAATCTCGTACATATTACCTGTTTCAGGTGCAGTCTGCAAATCCAAATGGACCAGAATCAGGGACAACCATCGCAAAGCATTGAATCTGCGCAACACGAAAAGTGGGCAGGCAGTTTCAAAAATGAAGCCACCCAAATTTCATAAAGAGCTTCAGTTCCTCACTCCATACCTACATGACGACGAAGATCGAATGACCAACCTCACGCCTTCAATTCCATACGCAAGCAGTAATTTGGAGGAAGAAGAGGACGAAACTGAATCAGAACACCCCCCTACAACATTTCAAATTCCCCCATGTTCTCCAGCAACAAGTGACACACAACGTTCATCATCCACAAACACACATTCAAACACATATGATCGTCAGAAGCGAATTTCATGGAACTCCACGCCACAACCGACTGCAGCATCAGTTCTGGACAAATATCTCAAGTCTAAGGAAATGAAACCCACAACAAACCCACTGACTGACCCGTTAATTGAGTTTTTCATTAATATGGCTCGGACTCTGAAAACCTTTCCACTTCAGGACCAAATTCACATTAAGGGACAACTATTTCAGATGGTAAACAGCGTGGAAATGCGACTGGCACAAGAAATGGATTCGTCGAACTCGGTCATTTCTTCGGCGACCCACAGTCCTGCCCAACATCAACAGGCCTTGAACCCATCCCTTGATGTTGAGACAGCCGATGATGCTATAATAGACAGTTTGCTGAAATTTCCTCGTTAAGTACTGTTGCTATTTTTCAACTTATTGTCATTGCTGAAAGTTCCCATTAAATAATGCTACTTTTTCAACTTGTTGTCATTTACTTTTATTAAATCATTAAGAGTAAAAATGTCTGAAATGTATTATAATATTGGCGGGCCGGTTTCAAACCCGGGTGGGCACGTGGGATTTTGTGATGGACAAAAGTGGCGCTGGGGTAGGTTTCCTCCGAGAACTTCGGTTTCCCCTGCCTATAGTCTCACAGGCCAAATAATAAAAATATTGTATACGTACCTTAAGCATACTGCTAGTCTTTGTTGAGGTTCTATTGCATGGTGGTATTTAGTATTTTGCTTCACTAAGTGTGGTCTCAGGATGTTCAGGAGTTCTGAAAACTTAGCGTAAGTCGTACAAAAGTATTTAAAAAACTTGACGTCATCATCAACTAAATCAGGGAACAAAGTATGATACTCTCCATAATCCACTCTTTTCTTATTTATTTTGTGAACCCAAATTTTCCATTTTCGTGTCCGTTTCTGTTCCTCTTCTGCCAGCAAGCAACTTGTTACTACAACTTCTTCCTCACTATCCATAACTGTTCACGATAATCAATAAACAATTTTCAAAGAATAGTCAAGAAGATGAACTTCACTTAACGATGTTACGCTATGAACTGAGCATATCTTGAAGGCAAGACCACCTGTCAGAAATGCGGTTGCTCCGAATCTGGTGTGTGCAGTCACAAAAAATTCCGATCCGTGCCGTCCGTCCGATGACGGCAGATGTGCGCCTACCTTTAGTGAGCATTCCACCTAAGCTCAATAGCGCCCAACAGGTTAAAACTATAAAAAAAAAAAAAAAGGAGAGAGGGAGAAAGGGGTGGAGTCAGGTGGAACCAGCGGGAGAAGACAGCGACAAAGACACAATGAAGCATCAGCAACAGCCGCTGCAGGTGGAAAGCCAGGTGAGGGAACAGGAAGGTTAGGGGACGACAAAACTACCAAACTTCACGCCGTGACATCACAGGAGATGATAATAATAATAATTATATCTACCCCCGTGAGAGCATCAGATCTGAAGAAACTAACCTGACAATAAATGTGCTTCAAGAAAATAAATACCAGGGTTTTGATGGGACATATTGCCTCCGCCTTCAATATGCAGTGTCTTAACCTTGTAACTCAGACTACAACACCCACGATCATAGCCATGGAAATCTGAAATGCCATACTGTAGCTCTCGTTCAGTCACCACAGTTAAATCTTAATATGAAGAGCACTGTCTTCTGGGATGCAATGCCATGTAGTCCTGTAAAAATTCGATGTTTCGGAGAAACATAATGTTGCCCTCTTCAGGATTCAGGAGTAAGCCTTCTACTGGACTGCATGGCGTTATGTCTCAGAAGATGGTACTCATCATAGTTGCCACCATGAAAACCTCAAATCTTACAAATCCTGTTCTCATTCCAGGTGACCGATATTGTCACACGTACCATCCCACTCCTGACACCAAAATGTCACATGTAGGGTGGTACACGTGATGAAAATAACGGGTTCTAGTTCAGAGGATTGGATTTATTAGCACTTCGGTTACAGGTTCTCTTAATCACACTTAAATACGGCACTTTCACCGATTTACTTACCTTCCAGTTCACTGTTGCACATGCAGTAGGATTCTCCATCTTCACTAGTCATCTCCTAGCAACCAGATCTCAACACAGAAACTATCACTTCAAATCACTATGAAGTCTTCTTGCTATTTTGTCCTCAATCACTCTGGAACCCTGGAACTGAGAATTCTTCTGGACTCACTCATCCAGTTTATGACTGACTTGTAACTGTCCTAAATGTCCAAGTCCAAGTCACATTGTGACTGACGTTCAGTCAGTCAGTCAGTCAGTCAGTCAGTCAGTAAGTCTTGGTGATGAGCCCCGTCTGGGCTCATGACCAGATATTTATTACTGTTGAACGTTACGGACAGGTTTTCTGTGGGACGTCCACTCTGACGAGAGGACAGGTCTATCTTTTTTTTACATGCCAGCGCAGTCTTTCTCGGGTCCAAGTCCCTTGGGACTCGAGGCCGTATTTTACTGTCCCAGATTTGAGACTTTCCTTTTCGTCGCCTCCTACAGCTCGCAGGGTCACGGTGGAGGTATTCGACCCTGCCTCCACACGGGTGTGTCATAAATGAATTTTGTCACTTACTTATATAGCCATGAAATGGACATGGACCTACAGTAAACACATATCACGTGATCACTATCCAGCCAGTTGATTGGCATGTTGGTCGGATCTATACAAAACACGGCTTCCTTTATTGTTGTGTGTTGGACTGTATTTAGAGAACTGTTGTCTGGCAATGCATTGATCAAATCTATTACAGTGTTCTTGGGACCAGTCCATCGTCTGATGTGTACCATCTATCAACGATAATTTCCAAGCTGGATTATATTGAGAACCCATAAAATAACTGCCACAATTATGCACCAGACTTCTTTTGTTCATTTGTGGTTACACACTAGAATAGTGTATGTAGTTGATCGGCAAGCTTATGCATCCTATAATACCCCAAAATATGGGATGCCAAAGACACAGTGGGTCCCAGAATTAATCCCTGTGCAGAATCCTCTTAGCATCATGTCACTTGCTCCTGCTGGTATATATCTAATGAATGAATAGTTAACAAATATCTGAGTAAAGCAATAATGCACATGTAAGGTTTAAGGTTAACACAGCAGTGAGTAACAAGATCACTATCTCCTGTTATGTGACATTGTATTGTTAAGAAGATGTGTACCATTGACAAATCTACTAAACTCCATGGCATCACATCCCAGGAGTTTGGAACCGTCATAACGAAGGTGGCCAAAGTAATTATGGGCAACCGCTAGGTATCTGCTGCATCTGTTTAAAATTATTATTGCTTAGTAAATTTTTGCTGAAACTGCACTTTTCTCATCCAGTACATTAAATCAGAGTGTTATAAAAGTAAGCAACATATATGAGTTCTTGTGTCTCCAATGCAGTGTGTTTATTTCACTAGTGAAACAAAAGCATTCACATGCAGTAACTCCTGGGGAGCAACTAAATTTTTTTAGTTCGGGCTTTTTGTTAGTTTTGAATCCTGAAATGTTGAAACTGGCCCACTCAGCACAGGTTTTGTAGGCTTGAGATCATACACACGTTCCAAGTTGCTACTGTATTCTTCTCACGCAGTCCTAACCCAATTTTATCAAAATACCCCCTAGCAATGTAAGCCATCAAAGTAATATTTCCAAATTATTTCACTCCCAAAAAAATTAAAGAAAAATCCTAGTGTCTCAAAATGTGATTTCTTGCCACTTTTTTTTTTTTTACTTTAATACTTTTCCCCTCCCCCCCCACAACCCCCACTCCTCTCCAGCCTCTTGTTACAACTTCTGCATGTGGAGCCATTCATTCATTATTCATCCATGGAGCTGAGCCCTTCTTGAAAAACCACCAACTATGGAGCTACTCAAGAACATCACTGGACAGATCCAGCATTTTATGGTACCTGAAGGTTCATTACTGTGTTCACAAGAGACCTCCACTGGTCTCTATCCTGACCCAGATCAATCCAGTCCATACCATCATATCCTATCTTGCTTACTTATGGAGCTGAGCCCTTCTTGAGGAGAAGCCAAATCTGCAGCTACTCAAGAATTTCCCAGCATTTTATGGAACCCAAAGGTTCATTACCATGTCTGTAGTGCCTCAAATTTGAGATTGGAGATTGGAAGGTATTACCCAAATGTTAGAGACTTGCGAAAAGTGTGTTACAGTTATTACAGTAATCTGTCAACACCTGGACAGGCAAATAGGTTAAGAATGTCGCTGATCAGCATGTATGTGTACCCGAAGTAGCAAGAAGCTTGCCTCACTTGGTCACTGGAGTAACGTAATAGTACCGCATACACAGCAATGAGACGCCAGGGGTCCGCCCACAACCACCAATAAGAACCAATTAGAATGTTACTATGAGAATTGAGGACACTGAGGAGGAGTCACCTACCCTCTGTCGTCAACGCTGAATTGGCAAGTTAAAACTATAAATTATGGAATTTCGGGGGACTTGGAATCTGGATCTGACACAGAATATTGAGTTGTCAGCCGGAGGCTCTAGTCGACATGTGTACCATAAGAGGGTGGATAACGGCAGTAATCTACATGTGTATTGCAAGTAAGTCTCTTTGCTCATATACGCCATGCTGTTAGATGATAGTGATGATAAAAAGTGTCAGGTGTGATCTTAAGGCAGTCTCCAGTGTACCCAGTGAGAGCCAGGGTAGAACAGGGTAGAAATGAACAGAGAGTGGCAGACGATGATAGGAGTACAGTTTCGAGGCACCTCCCCTCCACCGACAAAGAAGGTAGAAAGAGCTTAGCAAGAAGTGTCATGCAAGCAGACCTAACCAGGTCCTTTTCTGAATGTAAATATTAATGTAAATAGACAGTGTACATAGGGAAATGTACGCAGGTAGTTGTGATTCTCCCGTTCGGAAACATCCTGTCCACGACCAATCCCGAGCGACCCTAACCAAGACAGCCGAGTGCAGCGACGATGTTAGGAAAAAGAGTAACCCCAGACTAAAGCAATTATATTTTCTCACCCCCTCCCCCTGAGGTATAACAATGTCCACAAGAGCCCTCCACTGGACCCTATCCTGAGCCAGATCAATCCAATCCATATCATCCCATTCTAGCTCTCTAACATCCATTTTAATGTAGTCCACCCACCTATGCCTTGGTCTTCTCAGTGGTCTCTTTCTTTCTGGCTTTCCCACCAATATCCTATATGCATTCCTCTTCTCCCCTGTTCGTGCTACATGCCCTGCCCACCTCATCGTCCTTGACTTGATCATTCTGAATATACTTGGAGAAGAGTACAAAGTTATGAAGCTCCTCGTTATGCAGTTTTCTCCAACCTCCTGTCACTTCATCCCTCTTCGGTCCAAATATTTTCCTCAACACCCTGTTCTCAAACACCCTCAGTCCATGTTCCTCCATTAATGTCAGAGACCAAGTTTCACACCCATACAGAACCACCGGCAAAATTATAGTTTTGTATATTCTAATTTTTATGTTTTTGGACAGCAGATGAGAAGACAAAAGGTTGTGGACTGAACAGTCGCAAGCATTACCTGAGTTCAGTCTCCTTTTAATTTCCTCCTGAATCAGGTTTTGAGTTGTTATCGTCGTTCCCAAATATCTGAACTTTGCCACATTTTCAAAACATCTGTTTTCTGTCATTATTTTGCCCTGCATTTTGGTGACGAGACGGCAACATATACGTGTGCTTAGTTTTCTCTGTGTTTACTTCTAGACCAACCTCCTTACTTGCGTCAATTAAAGTTTGTGTGTTTTTCTTTATGGTTTTTATATTATCACCTAGTAGATTCACATCATCGGCATAGACCAACAGCTGATGTGTGCCGTTTAATTCAGTCCCACTTGGTTTTCCTGGACCTTCCTAATGGCATATTCTAAAGCAAAGTTAAAAAGGAGTGGCGATAAAGCATCTCCTTGTCTTGGACTATTCTGGCACATCCTATCTAAGATACATTTTAATATTATCCAACCACCTATGTCCAGTTCTTCCTAGTGACCTATTTCCTTCTAGCTTTCCTACCAAAATTGTACATGCATTCCACTTCTCCCCAATTCATGCTACCTACCCTACCCATCTCATGCTCCTTAACTTAATCATTCTAATTATACTTGTCTTAAGAGTACAAGTGATGAAGGTCATCATTATGTAGTTTTCTCCAGTCTCCCATCTCTGTTCAATCCAAACATTCTCCTCTGCACCCTGTTCTCAAACACCCTCAGTATATGTTCCACCCTTAATGACAGACACCAAGTTTCACACCCATACAGAACCACAGGCAAAATTTTAGTTTTGTATATTCTACTTTTTATGTTTTTGGACAGCAAACAAGAAGACAAATGTTCTGGACTGAATGGTAGCAAGCATTACCCAGATTCAGTCTCTTCTTAATTTCCTCCTGAATCAAGTTTTAATTTGTTACATTCATTCCCAAAAGTCTGAACTGTACCACATTCTCAAAACTTCTGTCAGCCATCTTTGTGTCATGATTTTGCCCTGCATTCTCGTGATGAGATGGTGACATATATAGTTTTCTCTGTGTTTACTTATAGACGAACCTCCTTACTGGTGTCATTTAAAATTAATGTGTTTTTCTTTATGTCTATATTATCACCCAGTAGATTCACATCATCAGCATAGAACAGCAGCTGATGTGTCCCATTTAATTTCAGTCCCAACATACACGTATGTGGAGCCATTACATGTTTTTAATTTTCTGCTGTCCTGAGCTTTTTTATCTGCCTTTATTAGTTCATCTGTGATATATTCCCAGTCTGTTTCTAATGCATTCTTGTTCCAGTAAATATAACTTGTGAAGTTTCTTTTTTCAGTTTTATTCTTTCTGTGTCTGTATACTATTTCAATAAAAAGTAAAACAGTAAGTAAAGGTATCCCTGTAACAGGCTATGGAGTCCCATAGGGTTGTGAGATGTTGAGGTTCCCACATTTTCTAGACAGTGGACTCATAGATGGTGGCAAGGTTGTCAGCCCTACATGCTGGCTGCCCTTTACCCCCAAGAATATTCCTGGTACTCATTTCTGTTAGAGGCTGAGTTGACCCAAGGGCCATTGTGCAGCTGGAAGAATTAGGTCAATTGAAAAATAATCCAGTGACCTCATCGGGACTTGAACCCGCAACCTTCCAGCTCGTAGCATAGTGCCTCAACCTCCTCTGACCTTGCTTACTTCCTCCATCTTTGTTCCTGTACTGTTCTTTTTCTCCTGTAATAGATGGCCTGACATAATGACTTATGCACAGCATCCCATAAAAATTCTTTGACCATGTTAGTTAGAACATGATGCATAAAGTGAACTTGCTCACTTTTGTGTAATTATCTTGAAAACTGTAAAACTTTCACAGAAAATATTTGGCACAGAATATGTTGAATTTAAATTTATTTATGTTCCATAAATCCAAGTTCTGATTGACACCATAGGATATGGAACAAGTCAAGTACAAATACATAATATCAATACAATAATAGTTTTGTTCAAAAAGTAAGTAAGATTATAATAAGTATTACTGTTACCATGCTAGTAGGATATATATAGCAGTCTGAAAAGAAGCAAAATGATACAGTAACATGCTTGAGAATACACTTTAGCATAGAATTGATACTAGTTACTGTTTGTTTACATTGAAATATTCATCTATGGAGTAGAAGGAATGAGTAAATAATGCCATTCTCATTCTCCATAGAGTACTAGATTACACTGCTGGAGCCAGTCTCCACCATGATGTTGATGTGATTACAATTATTGACTTTTTGGACATAATCCACCATCCTGTTTTTATTTAAAACAATACCTCTCTCATTTGGGCCTAAATCAGTAGGCTTTATACGAGTATCTGAGAATGGATGCAGAGCTCAGTCTCTGAAACAATGTTTTAAATAAAAATAGGGCAATGGACAATGGCTAAAAAGTCAATAATTGTATTAACATGCCATTGTTATTAACTTTTAAATGTTATTGTAGTGATGATGGACTGGCCAGTTCTGTACAGTGCCCAAAGTAAGAGTACCAAGTGCAATAGCAACCTCTCTGAGTACCAGATTATGCATGATTATCAGGCCAGTGTGCCATTTAAATTAGAATACTGAGAGATATTAAATGATTCCAAATACTTCATTCAGTCTTATAATTACAAGCCCTAAACTGCAGCATACAAATAAAGTGATCTTGAAGTATAAAGAAGTATAAAACTGCTGTAATAATCATATAATTGTAAAAAGTTGTGTCCACTGCTTTGCCTTGACCACAGTTTGTAGTCATACCTTGCTGCATACATTGGTCACTTCAAGTTGCCTTTCATTTATATAAGACATTGTGACATTTGAAGTTGGTATATCTTCATGTACTTTCATTTTACAGCCTCCTTTACTTTTCTTATTAAGGTTATCTTTCATGCTGTCTTTATTACTGGTGTTATCTTTTTCATGATTCCTCTGGTACCTGTGCCAGCATAAAAAAACTGCACTGTCACGCCACAAACAGCAACAACAAGCCAATAATAACACCCACAAAGCAAATGCACACAAGAAATACAGAACATATTTATAATAAACTTCTGTATGACCATAGAGTTTTGAGAGATTATCTGGACATCGTATAAAGCACCATAAAAACATGACAATTCCCACAAGTAGTGTAAAGCAAAAAAGTATTTTTCCTGTCTTTTGTAAACTGGTCTTCACTGTGCTCATTGTGACAGAATTAAGCGATGAATTTATGTATCTGTCAGAGAATTTGTTTATGTGTATTATAATTTGTTATTGAACCCTAACACATGATAATTTTTCACACATCAACTACAGTGCCTCATTTGCAGCCTTTCTAGTTCGTTGCAAAAGTCAACTTTCAGAATGGTGTTAATGTTGACATAGCAGTAGACTGTTTACAGTTTTGCACAGGAACGATCTAAATTTGATCTGTTCACTTATTATTTTTAGAACGCACACATTAAATTAACTCTGAACTGAAAAGACATTCCAAAGTACCTACATGATACTGTTGCTAAACCATGCAGGTTCCTAGATCTCAGTTGCTGTACTCTGTCATCAGATTTATGAGTCACACTAAGGATATTAAACCACATCCTCTCTCTACTGAACAAATGGATAATACGTCATGTTCATAATTTCCTGGATACAGAAGCATGGACGGTTGCAGCAAGGGTTCCATATACCATCGTGGGAGATCTAAATGAATTTCATGTGTAACAGTAGCCTTAGAAATGATAGGTTGGAAATGTGAAGTAGGATAGGCTGTATGAAATCTCCACTGCCAGGAGTGTATACATGCCTCTAAATAAAAAATTATTCTGAGGATTACTGGGTTTTCAGACTTTGTCCATTGTCTGGTATTCTACGTGTAAAAACTAGAAGACACAACGTTTCAGAAAATGGACCTGTTTCTGTCCTCAGGTGAGGGGGAGACACTCACTCTGTTTGGGTCCCTTAGAAGGAGCTAACCTCAGTTAACAAAGTCCGAAAACCCCGTAGTTCTGAGTGTTATACACCAACGTCAGAACCCTTTAGTATATAAGAATGATGAGATTTTGAGGGCATTACCAAAATATGGTGTTTACATCTTGTCAATCCCACAATCCTTTTGGATCCTTGTCCAAATATTACTGGCAAGAAGTAAACTGTAGAAGTTATGTAAGATTTGAGGCTTTCACGGCGGTGACTATGAAGAAAGCAGTCTGCTTTTACCGTTCTCACGGTCTTGTCGCTTGCAGATTTCTTATACTTTTTCTTCTACCCTGAAGATGGAGGCGATACGTTCCTCCGAAACGTCGGTTAACACCACTTATACACGGTGCCAAATTCCAGAAGACTGCTTTCTTTGTAGAAGTTATGGTTTGCAGTACTCAATACTGACTATTTTTATTGAACTTTGATTATTCTCTGAATGCTTTCATTACTATTTTGCACCAACCAAGAAGTGGCTGTATGGTGCAAAGAGATGTAGTTCACTTACCAATTTCTATGGTTTAAATGTCTTTACAACAGTTGCTTTCACCATGTTCAGCACTGAAAAGACTGAAATTATTTCCTGTGTTAATGCCTAATTTAAATAATTATAATCTTGGTTTGAATATGTTTGAGAAAAGAGGGCCGAGAAGATGTTGGGATCTCAGAGACGGGGAGACCACTTGGAAGGTCTATTCCAATTTCCCTAAAAAACTAATTAAGACTGATTCTAAATATAATATAATATAATATATAATAATATATAATATATAATAATATAATATAATATAATGTTGTTGACGTGTGTTGTCTGTCGGTAG